TCAGGGAAACTCCTTTTCTGGGTGGACTAAGGCTATTTGTGGATGGTTCCTCTAGGTTTACTCAGGGGAAAAGACACAATGGATATTCAGTGATAGAATCAAATTAAAAGTTATTGAATCAGGAATAATAATATAATATATATATTATATATATCATATATATATAATATAATAATAATTGGTCTGCCCAGACCTGTGAATTATTCACTCAATCAAGCACTGATGTCCTTAAAAGACAAGGAGGCAACAGCCTATACTGATTCTAGATATGCATTTGGGGTGGTGCATACTTTTGGGAAAATATGGGCTGAAAGAAGGTTGATTAATAGTAAAGGACAGGACCTAGTACACAAGGAGCTGATTATCAGATTTCTGGAGATCTCATGCTTCCTGAAGAGTACAATAGATCATGTGCCAGGGCATCAATGAGGCTACTCTCTTAAAGTCCAGGGAAACAATTTAGCTGACCAGGCTGCAAAGGAAGCCACCCTCTGCCCAGAGATACCCGTGTCACACCTCACTCCTGTTGTTCAGACCCCATTACTAACCCCCATTTTCACTCCCTAGGAAAAGCTCAACTTGAGAAGCTGGGCACCTCCCAGACCTTGGAAGAAAAATGGCCCCTCCCATATGGGAGGAAGGTACTTTACAAACCCATCATGAGGGAGATATTAACCCAATTACATCAAAGAAGTCATGGGGGTGGGTGGAGGGGTCCAGGCTATGTGTGATGCCATTCTTAGAGTTTACATATGTTCAGGAATCTATATTCTAGCAAAACAGATTACTGAGGGCTGTCTAACCTGTAAAAAAGGTTAACAAACCAGGACTTAAGGGGGCAAACTCTAGGGGAAAGAAATTCAGGCCTGAGGCCCTTTCAAAGTGTTCAGGTGCATTACACTGAATTACCTTAGGTGGTCTGTCTAAAATATTTATTGGTTGTAGTGGGCCATCTAACTAATTGGGTCAAGGCTATGCCTCTATCTAGCACCACTGCTAATGGAGTAGTTAAAATGCTTTTAGACAATATAATTCCTTGATTTGGACTTATTGAAAACATAGATTCAAGCAATGGGAGTCACTTTACAGCTAACATAATCAGAGAATTGGCAAGGGCTCTAGGTATCAGGTGGGAATATCATACTCCATGGTACCCACCCTCTTCCGGGAAAGTTGAAAGAATGAGTCAGACCTTAAAAGTTCTGGTCTCAAGAACTAAGCTAGTTCTTGAGACCAGATTACCCTGGATCAAATGCTTACCTCTAGCCTTACTCAAGACTAGGATGCCACCCAGAAGGACAGGAATTTCTCCTTATGAAATGCTATATGGTGTACCTTACTTGGGCTGGCCCTCTGGCCTCCCCTCCTTTAAAACCAAAGATCATTTTCTCCAAAATTATGTGCTCAGTCTCTCTTCAGCTCTATCATCTCTTAGGCAACAGGGACTGCTGGCCCAGATTCCACCACTTGAATTTCCAGTGCATCCACACTGACTGGTAGATTACATCCTAATCTGGATTTGGAGTGGAGAGAAGCTCAAGCAGTCCTGGGAGGGACCTTATCAGGTTTTACTCACTACCGAGACAGCATAACATGGAGAAAGGATGGACCCATTACACCCAAATAAAAATAAGCTCCCAAGGAGGAATGATGAACCATGTCTTTGAGTTCTGGCAACACAAAAGTAACCTTAAAAAGACTGTAATAGGGCTGTTATTCCTTTTCCATTTGGGAGACTGTCTGACTACTATCAGTATCACTCAGACCTCTTCTCCTATAACTACTGAATTTGATGCATGCATTGTAATTTCCTGTGAGAATTTTGAGAATCAATGTTATATCCAGACTGGGGCTGAGACCATATATATGTGTGCAGGCCCCGCCCCTGGCTGGTCAAAAGGTAGTTATGAAGGTGGTTGTAGTCTGTGTTATGCATGGTCAATGATAGGATGGATGGCTACACCTGGGGCATGTATCACAGAAAACTATGAGATGACATGGGGAGAGTACAAATGGGGGAAGGAATTAAAGGACAAAATCCAGCTTAAGAAAGCTATTTCCCTTCCAATACAACCCCCTTAGCCTAATCATAAATGATTCCCATTTTATGACCACAGAGCCATCTATCTTAAGGCACTGTGGATTAGGAGCTAGTCTTGTTGGGAACACTGGTTCTATAGGCGCATTTCTCTTAGAATTGCTCAAAGAACCTGCTACCACAGTGCCCCCTAGTGCCCCATCCCCAACACTACTCCCCCAGCTCTGTCATAATCAGACCAGGATAACTGTAGTGGAAGTCAAAGATCTAAAACAGACTATAGCTATTGAAACTGGTTATGGGGAAATGAACGCCTGGCTGGAATGGATTAAATATTCTTTCCACACTTTAAATAAGATCAATTGTTATTCATGTGCAACAGGAAAACTGGGACCCCAAGTTGTCCCCTTCCCTCTCGGATGGACCACTGACCCCTTGGTATGGTATGCATGATTGCCCTCTTCCAAGAAAAGACAGGCTAGGGCAATGGGTCTTCCAGGACCTTGTCACTACTGTTTCCTGTGATTAATGACCATGAGAGGCTAAAGCTGCCTCGGTCAATCAGACCCCCATCTCAGAGCTCTACCTAGAGTAGGTGGGGGGGATGGTTTAGAGTTTCTGGGAAACACATACAGGTGCAGCAAAGGCCAATCCCTTGAAGAGATGAGCAATAAGTCTGCTCTAACTGTTGCCAGGGTAGATGTCTGGTGGTATTGTGGTGAACGTTTACTTGAGACTCTTCTGGTCAAACAGAGTAGGACTTGCACTTTAGTTCAATTAGCTAGCCCTTTCACCCTGGCATTCCAGAAACCCAAGCCTTCCCTAACAGACAGAAAGACAGAAACAAGATCTTGTTTCCCCTGGAGGGTCGTTTGACTCCCATGTCTACACAGATGCCACTGGGGTCCCACAAGGAGTCCCTTATGAATTCAAAGCAAGGAATCAAATAGCAGCAGAATTTGAATCAGCACTATTCTGGTGGCTCACTATTAATAAAAATGTGGATTGAATTCACCATATCTATTAAAACCAACAGAGATTTGTCAATTATACTAGGAATGCAGTGAAGGGAATTGCAGAACAACTAGGCCCCACCAGTAAGATGGCATGGGAAAACTGGATGGCTCTAGACATAATTCTGGCAGAAAAGTGGGGGCTATGTGTCCTGATTGGGAGTGAATATTGCACATTCATCCCCAACAACACAGCTCCAGATGGGACCATTACCAAGGCTCTCCAAGGCCTGACAGCCCTGTCAAATGAACTGGCTAAGAACTCAGGGGTAAATTACCCTCTTACTAACTGACTAGAACAGTGGTTTGGAAAATGGAAGGGAGTGATGTCTTCAATCTTAATGTCCCTCATTGTTGTGTTTGAAGCAATGGCTTTAATTGGGTGCTGTGTTATACCCTGTATACAGGGACTAATTCTTAGAGTCATAGAAACCCTGACTAAACAAACCCCCATATCATACTAATTGTTGTTGAGTACAGCTGAAATAGAGAGTCAAATAATGTTAAATGAGTTTGAAGAAAAGAACAAAAAATAAAAAGGGGGGAACTGTGAGGGAAGCAGCCTTTTCTATCAAAGTCACCATCTTAGCTACTTGCATTTCCAGGTTCTTATTCACTGAGCTCCATTTTCACGCTGAAATTATTACCAACCCCACCCCCAGACTCCAAGTGTAACATTAGCCAATCACAAGCAGATTGTGCACCAGAGCGCAAGTAAAGAGGCAGGGCCTACTGTGTCAGGGATAAAAAGAGGACAGACTGCCTGCTCCTCATGTTTGCTGTGCCAGTGCACCTGTGCACCCTTCTGCAGAAGTAAATTTTGCCTTGCCAAGACAATTCTCTGTTTCTGTGTCTTCAACTGTGACTCCAGTGGTCTTCGGGGATCCTGCAGGGCATGTGCCCAAAAAAGACCAGGTAAAATGGAGAAACTGAGGCCCCTTCTAGCTCATAAAACTTTCTTTGCTTCTCAGACCTAAGCCATCACTCACATACCTACCCAGCTCAGTCCCTCAAACAAAGCTGGAAACCCCAAACTCTGGAAGCAGAGCCTACCCCTGCCTGGCCAAAGGTTCTGGGTTGGGTGGAACTGAAGTCCTCTCTGTAAATTCTGTTTTTATTCATTTATTTGGTGGTACTGGGGTTTGAACTCAGGGCCTCACGCTTGCTAGGTAGGTACCCTACAAGTTGAGCCACCCCAGCAGTCCTGTAGTCCTCTCTGGGCCTGGGAGCCCCAACCTTCTGACTGCCGCCAGAGTAGTAGCACAAAAGTCCCTTCAACAAGCTCTGAACGTTGGAATTTCCCTTGCCTCCAACAGGTCCCACTCCAGGGTAGACATCTAGCCCTAAGCCCAGGCTCTAGCACACAGTGGGACTTTGATCTGCTACCTGAACCAGCAGAGATACATGACACTGAAGGGGTGGGGGCGGGGCCAGGGAAGTCTCATCAATAGGAAGGCAGAGGGAGCTGGGGTCCCCAGGGTTGAGGGTTCTCCCTCAATTCTGGCTTGTACCATAAAATGCCTCACTGTTTGTAGAAGATGGTGATTCAGAAGGAGAGGTCTCAACAGGCAGAGACCAGCTGTCCCGGCCCCAGGCACAGCCCCCAACAAAGCACCTTGGACTCCTTTCAGCATCCGGTTCTGTGGCAACCCTTCCACAGTCAGCTTAAGATTTCATCGTAGCAGAATACCCATCACTGGTTACAGGCACCACAGAGAAAGGTGGGCAGTGAATAGTGCTGGCTCGTCCTGTGCTTCCCAGCCAGTGCCCCTCCTAAGACTCCTCAGCCAGGGCAAAAGCAGAGGATAGTGTTAGGGACATATCTCCCAGAGAACAGACATCCCTGGACTCTGAGCATATGGGAGATCCTCAGGGCATGACCATGAGGCATGTAAGCAGGAACATATGGAGCTGGCACAGAAGTGCATTGACAAGTCCCAAGTATCGACATGTGCCTCGGCTGTGTTGGCCTTAGGTGAGCAGGTGGGATGGGCTTAAAACATCACATGTGTGGGTGATGGTTCAAGATCATGCTGTGATCACAGAGAATGAAAGTTCATCTGTACATCAATGCCTGTGCAACATGATGCAGTGCAGAAAGTGTATGACCTGCCCTGGCCAACTCTTCCATCTCTACCACCCCACCTTAACCCCAACCCCTCTCCAGCTGGACTAGACCCACTCTGCTGGCTGGTCAGACTTCCCCTGTCCAGATTAATCTGCAAACATAATGTGGGGGGGGAGTGCACATGCTGGGTCTGTGTGCTATGTCGTTTCAGACACTGAGATCAGCTGTCCTCAAAAGTAGCTGAAGCTTCTACATCTTCTACATCAGGTTCAGACCATCCTTTGAAGTGGGGATGAGTTCCAGGCAGACGGGAAGGGAAGAAGATAGGCAGGACAAAAGCTACCTCACCTGCAATGAGCCATCATGCTGCCATTCCAGCTGCCAGCCTATATCTGCTCTTCCAACCCTGTGAGTCCCAGGACTGGGGTCCAGGAGATGGGCCTGTCACCAGGAATAAGGATCTCAATGAGGTCCCCAAGAAGAAGGGAGGGCTCTTGAACTTGGCCTTTAGAGGCTGAGACACAAAGCAAGGTAAGGAATAGATGGAGGTTTATTTAGTAAAGCAAAGAAAAAGAAAGGACAGCACATGCCCAGACATGGGTGCAGGTACACCTGAAAATAGATGCACAGAGCATTCTAACATTAGAGCACTTGTGCTGGGATGTGAGGCAGGGATTTAGTTTAAACATTCCTTTAGATTAGTGTCTTCTTTGTTCTGAACATCTGACGTTCTTGGTAATTTTTGTAGTTACACTGTTTGAAGTTATCAATTGGGCCCAGAGATTTAAGTCTGGTTAGTTCACTAAATTTGGGTCCTTTTGACAAGAATATCTGTTCTCCTTGAGAAACCCTTTAAGCAGAGGACAGGTTTCACCCAATGCGCCTTCCAAACACATGTGTCCTTCTTTAAGGTATTTTTCTTTTGCAAACATTTCTGTGATCAAAGGAGTCATTTTACCCAATTTTTTTTCCACGTTAAGTGTCTTTCTTCAAGAAATACTGCTTATTCTCAGGACACAATAATCATCGGAGCAAGATCAAAGGGTGCTTTTCTACCTGTGCTGTAGCTCAGTGAGGGAGGATAGAAGCAAAGTGAAAGGTATGCATGCTCCTAATCAAGTTATTCACTAATAGTGTTTTATTAGGTTTATTTTTGTTCTGTTTGGTTTTGTTTTAGTTTTTGGCTTTTGATTCCCATGCCTCATTTTCTCTAATCAACCCTGCTTTGGGCCTACTTCCCCTGTCTGTCTCCTCCAAGGTTTCCACCCCTGCCTCATCTGCCTATGGACCAAGAGCCTGATCTGAGGTCAACAGATCTGGCCACTTGAGCATCCCAGAAAGATGCCCATGTGTCCCCGGCCCTGAAACCAGGTAAGTGCAGGCACAAGCCCCATAGGGAGAGACAAACACTGCCCAGAGGCAGGGTCACAAGAAGGAAGGAGCCAAGGAGGAAGTGAAAACTCTTGAGTCTCAAGCGTGAATCAGCCTTGCCTGTGCAAGACTCATTCAGAAGATTTCAGACAGAAGAGAAAGGCAGGTTCATGTTCAGGTCAGCGCTCAAACATTCCTGGGCCCATCTTGGGGGCTTGGGGTGACCTGCCACCACAGGCACGGACAGAGGGGTCCAGGTACACACGTATGTGTTCATATCCACTGACATGTGTAAGTGACAGCTCCACTGGAGACTACCCGCCTTGCCAACCTTGCCAGTGCTGCCCTAGTGACCACAGCTGCTCCCATCAGGGGATAGGGTTAGACCATTCCAGCCCTTTCTTGTCCACAGAAGACTCTACATCTCCAGTCATGCTGACTACTTTGGGGTGCACCAAGAATCCCAGCGATGTGCCCCAAAGCTGGAAGATTTCGCAGCCTGGTGGAGGTGAGAACACTGGACAGGTAGAGGGAGGTAAGACAGGCCTCTGAGCATTGGGCAGGAAGGCCGTGCCTCCCCAGTACTGCCCCTTGGGTCTGCTGTGCTGCTCTCCCTCCCACCACTCCTGTTGGGTGGGGCCTCTGTGGGTGAGGAGAGGGGAGGCTGCCAGCAGCACTTTGGTAATTGACTTAAACAATCCCAGCAGAGAGCAAGTGCTGAGGCTCAGGGGGAGCAATTGGCTGCTTCCTGTTTGTGCCTTTAAGTCACGCTGGAAGCTTCACAGCCAGGTTCCCTCAACAGGACCTGCCGCCTACAGGGGCCTGCTGGGGGCGGGGGGCTAGGGGGAAGGCAGTCAACAGCTTTACCTCCTCCCCCAGCTTTACCAGAGGGTGCTCAGAGACCAGGGGAAGACTTTCTGCCTACCCCAAGTGGCCCAAAAGTCCCTGCCTCCCTCCTGAAGGCCTCTGTCATAGTTGGTGCAGACCATAGCCACAGAACTCAGAACCTGAGGTCATCTGACCGCTTACCTCTTTGTCCCCCACAGTCCCCAGACTGAGCCAGACTCTGTTCCCATCTTCTGTCCCATAGAAACTCTGACCTGAGGGCCTGGCAGACAGCCGCCCCCTAGCTGGGCCTCCCCAAGGCCTCTTGCCACCCATCTGCACAGGAAGCTCACCTTCCTCTAGCACACATTGTGCTTGGTATTCTATTCACTGTCTGCCTCCCCGACTCAGGGGTCAGTCCTCAAAGGCAGAAATTTTATCCTCTGTTTATAACTGCATTCTTGGGCAAATACTGAAAGTGGATGAAAGACTTGAGCCTGAAAGCTGACAGAAGCCTCTGCCCAACTAAGTTCCCCAGTGCCTCCCTCCCAAGGCCAGGCACCTGTGACCCGTATCTGCAAAGGGCACCATGCATGGAGGGGAACACCTGGATCCCCAGGGAGCTGGATGCCGGCTGGATGGAGGCAGTGTGGAAAGTCCAGAATTGTGTGTAACAAGGGGCCCCTCCCAGCTACACAGACACAATCACCCTCTGCTTCTCTGGAGAGATTGGGGCTCCGCCTTTGCCCAGGGGAAGCTGGGTGTCTTCTGGCTCTTCCTCGAGCAAAGCCTCCAGTTACCAACTTAGAAGCAGCCCTGGATAAAGCTGACATGGGCCACAGGTACATACTTGTGTGCACTTGTGCCTGTATGTATGTTTGCCCTCTGTGTGTGTGTGTGTGTGTGTGTGTGTGTGTGTGTACACGCACACATGTGTGCTTATGCACATGTGTATATGTATATGTATATGTATATGTATATGAAGACCCAAAACACAAAGGCAGGTGGAGGGTGACTACCACACCTACAGGAAATAACAATAAGAATAAAGCCCCACAATTGATTTTGCCTGTTGCTGTCTGTGTGGCTCACTCACACAGCTGTGTGGCACACCCTCACCCTCCCCCAGCCATGAGGGCACAATTTAGCTGCTTCTCCTCCCAAACCCTGAAAGAAACCCACACACAAACAGTCACACAAACAACTCATTCTCTAGTCCCTCCACCCCCAGCACCCCTAGACACGCCCAGGCCTCCCTAGGGCCCAACCACTCCTATCCCAAGGAGCTGACACATGGCTTCCTCCCTGGCCTCTCCCCTCACATTGCAACAAACTTGATTGAAAAGGCCAATTCATTTCTGAAAATGGAAATCCTTGCACAGAATGAAGCTCTCAGCTGGCACAATGCCCAACCCACAGGCAGAACAAAGCTGCTCTCTCAGGCTGAGGGTGAGGGCTGAAGGACAGATGAGCCTCAGCTACAGTGGGCATAAGTGAGGTGCTTCTGGAAGGGAAAGGGGACATCTGGCATCTGCCAGGATAACCCAGCACCCACAACAGCCTTCCAGCGTCCTAGCACCTCTGTCTGACACTTCAGTTTCCCAACCCCTGTTGCCCCAATCCCCATCCCTCCCTTCCCAACTCCCAGGGTCACCATCCCTGTCCCTCCATTGCTGCTCCACTTCAGATATGACAGGCTGTGTGAGCCCCCAGAACAGGCTCAGGAGGACAGAGATGGGGTCTTGGAGGAGCTTAAACTGGGCCAAACACTGGTGGGGTGAAAGGGGACCCCAGATTAGGGTTTCTGTTAGAGGAAGCCAAGGGATTGGTGGGAAATCTTGAGGGAGGGTTCTGTGCTCTGAAGACTGTGCTCTGATAAAAGGTCACTCCCCCACCCCAGGACTGAAGGGAAGTCTCACCTGAAACAACCAGCTCTAGGAAAAGTAGGGGGTGAGGGGTTAGTGTCTGCAGAGCCAGAACAAGGAACAGGAGGGGTGCAAAGGATCCTTATCCATGCTGGTTCTGAAAGCAACATAGGGAGCACTGGTCAGCTTCATGCTGACAGGACTTACAGGGAGGGAAGGGACCCTGCACCAGCCCAGGGAGGCCCAGAATTGGGCTCAGTAGGATGAACCATATCCCAAGATAGCAACTGAGTGACAGGAGGCCTGGCCAGCCCCATGTGTCCATGTGCTGAGGCTGGGGTCAGTTAATCCCCAGCCAAGACCCATTATTGCCTAGCCCTGTAAACACCCCTGCAGCACCTGGGCCCCATGAGTCAAGAAGAACAAGAATACCATTCACAGGCCTGACCATCTGTCTGTCATGTCTGGTTTCTAGGAGCTATAATCTAACCCGGAACCTCTACCCAGCCCCATGAACAAACCCAAATCATGAAATTCAGCCTGATCCAGCCTTTGCTCATGGTTGCTGACTGCATCTTCTGACCTCATGAGCCTCAGTCTCCTCCAAGTGCAGAAATCCCCTAGGGATAAACAGACCCACCACTAACCCTAATCCTGGGTCCCTGCTATTCATGCCACCTCTGGGCTCAATATCCACATGGTGGAGTCCATGGGTGGGGGAGCTAGGGACCCACCCACAGTACTCCTGGACACGGCCTCAGGCTGGGCACTCAGGGCAACTGTCTAGGCTCCTGTCCTGACTCAGGCCAGGAGGATACAGGGAACACCAACTGACTCGAAAGAGCAAGTCACAGAAGAAGCCAGCTTCAAGTGTGGGTGACAGCATCACAACCTAAGGGATAGTGGGCACAACTTCCACGGCAGACATAGCTCCCATGGACCCTCCAAGCAGCAAGTGCTTGCTGAGGAGCTGCCCCCAAGACTGTTATAGTTGCAGTGTTGCCAAAAATGCACAATCAGAGATAACCTGCTGTCAATGGCTGGGCTGAATAAATTGAGGGGCATCCTGCTTGGGTAGAAAAACCTGAGGTGAGGGACATGATAGTGAACAGGAGCAGAGCACAGCTCTTACCACCTAGTGGGTTTCCCCCTGCACCTCAGGGAAAGGGCCAGCACTGGAGGAGCAAATGCCCTTCTCTACAGCCTCTCATGGCTAGCCTGGCTATTGCATGAGTCTGTGTTTCTCTTTTAGGATAAAAAGGAAGCTGTATTGTCTGTGACCAGCAAGTTCTATGTCCACACAAGGACATACAGTCCCTGGACCCATGTTCAGCCAAGGACACACACAGACTCTCTCACACATAGTTCAGAGTCATCCTCAAAGACCCCATGCAGACGGACACATGTGCAGTGCACACACACACACACACACACATGTGCACCACAGACACACACACCATGCACATACTCAGGAGCAAGCACAAGATCCACCCAAGCACTGTGTACCACCCAGGTACACAGAGCCCTAGAGCCCAGCTGGTGTGGTGGGCTCCCAACACTAATGCACACATATGCACAGGTATACATATGCCCCTGGGACGGTGTCCCTCACACATATCCACTGGGAAGTCGCTTGAATGAGTGAGTGCCAGCAAGACCCTGGGATGGCCGACTGCAGGCACTGTAGTGCAGCACTGGGGGAGGGGGGCACCTGCCTCCACGTCAGCAAGTGGGACCCGCCTCCCTCCCTCCCTGCACATTAGTACTGCTGGGAACTGTGCTGGGAAGCCAGGGCTGAGAGGCAGGGCAGGTCCTGGAAGCCCCACTCCCTGCTGGTAAGGGCTCACTGTGACCCCTGCCGGGAGCCTGTCAGTAGGGGTCACACCCTCCTCCATCTCACAGCTGCCTGCACTGCCGCCACTGAGAGCCCACCAAGACCACCAACTTCTGGCCGTAAGGCACCCACCAGGTCAGTGGAGAGAAGAGCAGCCACGCAGGGGGGTGGGGGTTCTGCATAGCATCAGGGAGGCTGAGGACTCTAGAAATCCTGAAGGGAAGTTTCAGACTCAGAGGGACCAGGGATGCACCTGAGAGGTGCACAAAGAGGAAACAGCCTTGATTCTGTTTATTGTGCATTGGGAGGGAGGGGAGCCTGCTATAGGCAACAGAAACCTCAGCATCCCAGGAGGGTATGCAGCTGCCCTCACAGGAGGGGACCTGGGGAAGGAGGCTGATCTGTCCAACATGCCTGCATCCAAGAGACTGGAAGATACCCTTGCTCCCCGCCAGGCTCTCTCTGGCTCCAGGACTAGGGCCAATAGACTGACCCCACGTGTCCTTGTCCAAGTAGAGTGGGCACACTTCTGCCAGAAAAATTGAGGTGGCCATTGCTCTGGCAGCCAGACCCCAAAGTTTCTTGTTTTTTTCCCCAGAATCCAGCCCAAGGAGGCTCCTGCCCAGACACCTGCTTCCAAGCCCCCCATGATGCAGGCTACTGAGTGCCCAGAGTCCTCCAACAGCAGAGATTGCTCCTTCCCCACTGCCATAAGCACTAACCTGTCCCAGAACAACAGCACCCCGGAACCACTGTCTGTACTCTACATACTCCTGCCAACCGTATACTCTGTGATCTGTGCTGTGGGACTGACTGGAAACACAGCTGTCATCTATGTGATCTTGCGAGCTCCCAAGATGAAGACAGTGACCAATGTGTTTGTCCTGAACCTGGCCATTGCTGATGGGCTTTTTGCACTCGTGCTGCCAGCTAACATTGCCGAGCACCTCCTGCAGCGTTGGCCCTTTGGGGAGCCACTCTGCAAGCTGGTGCTGGCCATTGACCACTACAACATCTTCTCCAGTGTCTACTTCTTGGCCGTGATGAGTGTGGACCGCTACCTGGTGGTACTGGCCACCGTGCGATCCCACCGCATGCCCAAACGCACCCAGCGGGGAGCAAAGATTGCCAGCCTGTGTGTCTGGCTGGGTGTCACCATCATGGTTCTGCCCTTCTTCTCCTTTGCCCATGTCTATAGCAATGAGCTGCAGGCACCCAGCTGTGGGCTGAGCTTCCCCAGTCCTGAAAAGGCCTGGTTCAAGGCCACTCGCATCTACACATTGGTACTGGGCTTCCTGGTGCCTGTGTGCACTATCTGTGTGCTCTACATAGACCTGCTGCGCAGGCTGAGGACCATGCAGCTCCGTTCCAGTGCCAAGGCTCTGGGTAAGGCCAAGCGGAAAGTGACTGTCCTAGTCCTCACTGTGCTGGCAGTGTGCCTCCTCTGCTGGACACCCTTCCACCTGGCCTCTGTGGTAGCCCTGACCACAGACATGCCCCAGACATCCCTGGTCATTGGCATCTCCTACGCCATCACCAGCCTCACCTATGCCAACTCATGTCTCAACCCCTTCCTATATGCCTTCCTGGATGACAGCTTCCGCAAGAATTTCCGCACCACAGTCCTGTGCCGGGAGGCCTGAGCACCCCTGCCATTTCCTTCCTTCCAAGAACAGTGACTCCCCCGGTTAGAGATGTCCTACCTGTTCACAGGTTCTCCACAGATATGGACCCTGCAAAGTGTCACCCTTTCCATTGCCTCTGCCTCCTGAAAGCCCTGGGGGGTGAACAACAGCAGGGGCTCAGGTCCTGGCCACAGGCACCCAGATCTGCTCACCCAGAGAATGAACAGATGGATGCCTGCCCCCCAACAGTCCCTTTCATGCCCTCTCTGGGACCCAGGATACCTGACAAAAGGGGGGGAAGGGACATAAGCTGGGAACTTAACCCAGGGCCAGTGGTGTGTTCCACAGTTAGGACCCCTTGGGCTCTTCCCAGATGGGACTGGGAGGTAACAAAAGTATGAGCACCTGGGCAGCAAAGTCAACTGTTTCTGTGAAGGCTGAGAACACAGGCATCAAAGGAAGACATAACATCCCTCCACAGCCTGAAACCCAGTGACAAGTCACCAGGAGGCCTGTGTCCCTTACACTCCACCCTGTGGCCTGTGACCCCCTCATGTCCTGCTGTAGGACACATGGTACTTCTGCCTGGACCCTCACAGTCTAGGGGCCATCTGTCCCTCGGAGGGGCTGGCATCTGAAACCCCTTCCTCCCCAGGTGTGCCTGGGGCCTGGACACAGTCAGCAGAAGTCACATGCTGAAGCCTCAGGGGAGGGACTGTGCAGTGCAAGCTGCTCAGAGACCACCAACTTTCTGGTGGAGAGTGCAGGGCACACCCCCAAAGACAACATGATGGGCCTGAGCCAAATACCCACTCTTGGCTGTGGCTCCCAGCTGGCCCTCTGGCCTTACATGGTGAGTCCTCAGATTGGTTTCAGTCCTCATAGCCCAGCACTCTGATACCCCAAGACACATGCCCCATCCCCCTTCTCACCATGCGTTCCAGCTTGCCAGGATGCCTGGGCCCTCACCTGAGTCAGATCAGTGCCTGCCCTCTCACTGTCCATCCCTCCAGTCAGCCCCAAATTACTTAAATGCCATCCACCCAGTATCTTCCCTGACCCAGCACTGTATTAGTTGCCTATTGCTGTATAACAAGTTTCTCCAAACTTAGAAGCTGGAAAATAATAAATGTTTAGCTACTGAAGAGCACCAGTGTGGAAGTGGCTCAGTCTTCCACATGATTTCAGGCAGAACACTGGCAAGGCTCAGGTAGTCTAGAGGCTAAACAGGGGTTGAGGGTCCCCTTTGAAAAGGCCAACTCCTACAGCAGCTGGCAGGATGTGAACACTCCCCACCTGACTTTGAGTGTCCGCACAACATGGCACTGGGGATCTGAGAGAGCCAAGAGAAGCGCAGACACCTTTTACAACCTATGCTCCGAAGTCACTCTGTGCTCCTTGCACTAAATGCTGTGTATTAGGCAGGAATAACTAAGTACAGCCCACACTGAAGGCCACAGGCATCTTTTAAACTATCACCCACACCCACAGTTCCACCATAAAGAACAAGACACACCTGGGCCTCTTTTCTCCCTACAACACAGTCACACCTCTGCAAAGCCTAATTGCCACTCTTCGATACTCCTGTGAAAGGCAAGAGCCCCTTTAGGACACCAGCAGAGGCTCCATCTCGCTTCCTAGAGCCGCTGGCTTTCTAGGCCATAGTGATAATCTAGGGATGTGACATAATGAGTGTGTGAAAGAGGAACAGGCAAGCAGAGCGTGAGTGGCTGTGAAGAACAGGAGGCAGGGGATGTTCAGGTGCGAGCATTCCAGGCTTGGGCAGTGCTAGGCATTCTGGGGCTGGCCTCCCACCCTGCCCGGGCTTGCCCTCTGGACATCACAGCAGAGCAAGCGCCAACCACGTTTCCTCTGAAGACCCCAAGCCATTGATTCACAGTTGGCTCCTATCCCCATCCAGAGTTCAGCAACAGGATCAGCCTCCCTCCCTCCCCCTGCAGTTCCTGGGAACATCATAGGGGGACCAAGAGGCAGTCGTAACCAGAGACTGCAAAACAAGGGCAGATGGAAAAACACTTCTCACAAAGTCCTGCTCCCCCCACCATGGTCTACTGATATCAGCCCCGGAAACGGGGAGCTCTGCCAAGTCCCCACACTCAGGATCCTGGACCCAGAGAGAGCCCCTTCAGTCCCCAAATCTCACTGTCATCACCACCACAATCCCTCAAAGGACCTCAGCTGGGTCTGCCATGGGGCTACAGCACTCCCTAGTGGACAGAGTCCAAACCAGCAGATGAACTCCGGCCTTCCATGTGCCCCCTCCCTACAACCCCATGAGAAAGGTTCTGTGTGGTCCCTTTTGCACAAAGAGAAAACCAAGCCTCCAGAAAAGCTGGACTTGACCAAGCCCAGCAGTGGACTGGAGCAGAGGTGCAGGCAGTGGAGGATGGGGACAGGGGGTGCAGAACCTGAAGGTCTGGGTGGCGGGCAGAGCAGGGAGGTTACCCAGAGAGAGGAAGTCCTGGAGAGCCAGGGAGCCATGCCCACCTCCAGTGGCCCTCCCCTTGCTAGCCAGCCTCCTTCTGCAGACACTAGTGGTGAGTGTTGACCCCTGGGCACATACCCCACGTGGCAGGAGTGGCAGCGGTCCAGGACTGCATACGTGAGCCCTCTCTACCAGGATGACACCATCTCCCAGACACCAAGAGCACTGTGAGTGCCTCAATGGGGCCTGTTCCTTCCATGTTTTCCCTTGATGCTGAAATTTTGTTTGAACAGAAATGTGTTTATTAAGGACTATTTGTCCTTAATAATTTCCCAAAATTCTAGCCCCCAATGTGATAGTGTGAGGTGAGTCTGGGAGGTGAGTAGGTCGTAAGGGTGAGCCCAATAGTGGGATCAGTGTTCTGACTAAAGCGATACCTGCAGCTCTGGAGCCCACTTTCCATCAAGTGAGGACACAGTGAGATGGCCCTCACCAGCACCCCACCCCCAAACCCTGATCACTGACTCCAGCCTCCAGTATTGTGAGAACTCCACCAACCAGTCTAAAACACCTTGTTACAGCAGTCTGAGCTGACAGTCCATCATTAAAGCTTGTATGAAACCAAACCTTGGCTCACCTTCCCTGCCCTTGGACACAAGATCTTTGACCCACACACACCCATGCTACCCCTTCCCAAGCAACTTCTGACAGGGTCATCTGCCTACAGGTCAACCTGGACCAAATTACGCCCTCATGGGAGCCAGAGTAGGATCCCGTGGCACAGGACTGTCCAGCCACCAGAAGTCCCTGCTCCTGCTTCACCAAAACTCCCTCAGATCTGTGCAAGAAAGGGAAAATGGACAAGATAGGAGTCTACAAAGATGAAATGGGGTAAAGAAAATTCTATGGCCCAGGAGAAAGACATCCACCCACTGCCCCCAGGGATAAAAGAGGGGCACTCAGTTGTTTGGAGAGAAACTTTGTACAGAAGGAAAGGTGGCAGCGCCTACTACATCATGAACTAGTTTCATCCTACCAAATCAGAACCCTCTAGGGGATACTCCACCAAGAGCAGGCAGGAAATCTCATCAGCCTGAGCCCACAGCCCCCTCCCACTACATGCTAACCCTAGAGAAATTACTCCAATAGCCAGTCCCTATGTGGCTGGAGTCAGAAACACCTGTTTAAGCTGGGCATAGTGGCTCACATTTGTAATTCCAGTTACTTGTCAGGCAGAGATCAGGAGGAGTGCTATTTGAGACCAGACTGGGCAAAAAGTTAGCAAGACCCCATCTCAACCAATAAGCTGGGTGTGGTAATGTGCACCTGTCATCCCAGGTATGCAGGAGGTGTAAATAGGAGGATCAAGGACCAGGCTGACCTGGACAAAAAATGTGAGACCATTTTTGACAAATAATTAAAGCAGAAAAGCTGGAGACTTGATTTGAGTGGCAGAGCAACTACCTAGCAAGCTGAAGTCCCTAAGTTCAAACCCATTACCATCAAAAAATAAAAAAAAAGAAAGAAAAAAGAAACACCTGTTCTAAGGAGAGTGCCTAGTCAATAGCAGGTGTTTATTGTGGCCCTCCTTCATTACCACAGAGACAGGTCAGGGCAGGCTACATGCAGGGGAAATGACACGTTACATGCATAAATACATAAAGATCCACACATTCACAGAGTTTCCAATCTTGGCAAGAAAACACTATCACAATGAAACCCCTTTGTACAATTAATACACACTAATAAAAAAAAGGAAAGAAAGAAGGAAAAAGGAAAAAAGAAAAGATATTTTAGATATCATGTTATAATGATGGATTTTCAAAATAAGCGTTTTATTTTATACTAGAAAAGAAAGAAAGGAGGGAGAGAGGAAAAGAAAGAGAAAGAAAGAAAACACTGCAGCCAGGTGGCTCCTACCACAGGTTTTATGGAGCCCTGGCCTCCTGAGGAATGACCCCTGCAGCCAGAGCTCCTGGAGGCAGGAGGAGTCAGCCCAGGCTTTGTGTTGCCTCTATGGTCACCTGACCAAGGTCTCAGTGGAAGAGCAGTCTCTTTGATGTTGCAGGTATTTCAGTAGTCAGTTTGCAGGAAGAGCTTTTGCAAAGTCATCTGATTCTCTGGGTGACCGTGGCAATGTGTCCCAAAGACACAGACTCCCCCAGTATCCCCAAATAGCCCCCACAGCTTGACTCAAGCACACCTGTCAAACCCCACCCCACATACCAGCTCTACATGTGAAACCAACCTCCAATTTGGCAGCAAGCTCAGGCTTTATCCTGAGCGTAGGAGGTCACTGGGGGTGCAGAGCAGAACACATTCTGACTGCAATCATTTCCAGGCCACCAGGTGTTCTTCCAGTGGTGTAGCTGCTGACTTCTAATTTTAAGCAAAGAAGAGACTGTGTAAGAGAGCCCTGAGAGGCTGTAAGGACCTTCATGTTCTCCTGCCCTGCACTGACCAAGCAACCAAGATCAGCACATGAGGCCACCACTTTGTAACAGATCAGTCCGTGGGGGACACACACAGCACCTTCCTCCCGATCTACCTTCAGCACATCCAGAAGCAGAGC